GCAGAGCAGCTGGTAGTTTCAAACTGCTGACCTTGTGGTTTGCAGCCCAATTCGTAACCACTATGCTACCAGAACTCCTTATCAATAGGCACCCTCAAATAGTGCATCATACACAATGTATTATTATACCTTTAACTTAATACGAGAATTTATTCATGCAACAAAATATGTACTATACATTGCTTTGTCAATATATGTTTTGGAATAATTCACAGAAGGTGGTACAGAGTGATCCTATGTGACTCATTCTGTTTTTCAAGTGGCTGGGTCTTTACTGATTATAGTACAATATCAAAACCAGGAATCTTATACGGGTCCAGTGATAAGCACTGTTCTACAAGCTGGGGATAGAGCAGCAACAAAACAAAAGTTCCTGATGTATAGTGGTGGTAGATAATAAGTGAAATTCGAGTGTATTCTATGTTAGGTGCCATTGAGTCAAGTCTGATCGTGAAAATAAAGCAAGAAAAGCGGATGTTTGTGTGATGTGTTAATTACAGCATTTTATTATGAACATTTTCAAATGGATCTTGAAAGAATCATGCATAAAACACCCTGGTGTGGCACTGTAGGATAAGCACTCTTGACTGCAAGGTTGGTTTGAACCACAAGGTCGGCAGTTCAAACTCACCAGCTGTTCCTTGGAAACCCTAGACATGATTGCTGTGGGTGGAAATGGATGGGAATGGACTCAATGGCACTTAATGGCATCCATCACCTAGATTCTGTATTAATACTACGACATTTCTCTGTGTGTTTGCACGTTTGTAAGTAAAATGGCCTGGGGGATGTTTTGCCAAGAATATGGTAAGGGAATGACTTAAAGTGTTGGGGAAATAATTTTAAAGGCACAGGGCACAGCAAATACAAAGGTCTTGAGGCAGCATTCTTGGGTGTTTGAGAAAAGCAGGGAGTGAGCGAAGTTGAAAATAGACGAGATTAGAGAGAACATAGGGTGACTGAGATGAAGGGGAGTCACTGCAGATTTTGTAGCCTGCCTGCACCTGCACTGGAACGGAATAAAGGTGATAGCAAAGACCTCATATAGGAGGGTTGGACCAAAGTGGTGAAGAAGTGGTTGGACCAGTTTTTTCTTTCCCCCACAACTTTTTTTTTTAAATAAATGTTTTATTGTAAATTGTGTGATAGTTTACATGGGATAGCATAGGTTTTACATTCATTCTATTATATATCATTTCATTGCCATAGTTACAATCCAATCCATGCATCCTCAACCAACCAAAGGGTATACTCTGCAAGCGTGCCCGCCTCCCGCCCCCGGTCATTAGCACACAGCCCCTTTCCCTCTCTGGATCTCAAGTCCCCAGCCTCTCCATCTCTCTGCATCATCGTCTCTGCTTCCATCTCAGGCATCACGACTTCCCTTCCCCCACAACTTTTTATTGTGATTGAGTGAAGGTCTGCAGATAGAGACCATCAGTTTTACATTCAACAAGTCATACGCTTTGTCTCATCTCAGTGATTACAATCCCCTCCATGCAACAACAGTTGTCCCACTTCCTCCTGAATTTCTATTTCCATTCTACCCACCTTCCCATCCCTTCAAAATTTTGTCCTTAGGTAAATGTCCTTTTGATTTAGAATGATTGACCATTCCATGGTGAGCATGCCTTACTAGTGTTGTATTCCTAAATACATATCTACTGCCTGACTGAAAATGGGCCACAAGGGTGAGTTCCTTTCCAGACCTGAAGGATAGTTGAAGGTCATAGTCTCAGGATCTTCTAGTCTTTTTC